AATGTAGATTTGTGCTGCGAGAATCTTTGTTTGAATGTTCCTTCTGTCAGTCCGATGTAGTTCTTGGTTGTGTTGCTGGTTGTGACTTGCGCGTTGTAGATTACACTGGTAGTTAAGCATTTGTTGTCTAGCGGGCATTGGTCTTTATTGCGGCAGTTGCATTGTTCTCCGGTGGTTGCGTTGGCGTTGTTGTCGGCGTTTGTTACTTTCATGTTGTGTTTGTTGATAACTGTTTTCATGTTGTCCATACAGCTGTAGCTGACTTTTACGTTATTTTTGTTGAAGAGGCTGTGGTATTTATGCTGGTTCGGGAAGTGCTTAGATATGAGTTTCAGGAATGTTCTGCCAATGTTCGTCTTAACGTTTTTACTGAAAGGAGGGTTGTACCATATAATGTTTCTTTGTCTGTTGCGTCGGGGGCGTGCTGGTTGATTGTCTTTGTTGTATATTAGTGTTGCAGAGTGTCCGCTGGCTTTCAGAGCAGTTTCGTAGATTGGTTTGGCCTTGTTAAATTCGTGTTCGTTGCATGAGTTGTCGGAGATGCGGCGGTTGATGGATGCTGGAAGTTGCTTTAATATGTTAGGCGGGTGGTTAGACTTTGTGTTGATGTACAGTGGTTCGTTGTTCGGCTTTCTGTAGGGGCAGTAGGTACCTTTTGTTAGGTCGAAAGTAACGTCCAGGTAGTTAACAATTTTCAAGTTAGTTTGTATGGTGATGTTAAGTCCATGTGTCTTGAAGCGTCTTGTGATGTCTTTTCTGGTGCGTTCAGCTTGTGGTCCGGAGATGTTTCTGAAGATGGCAAGTCCGTCGTCTCTGTAAAGTCCGATGTTGTCTTTCCCGTATGTGTTACATAGGTCGTTGAGGATGAATAAGCCTACAAGCTCGCATATTTCGGCTMCGTCGTAGCTGCCCATAGTGACATCAAATGAGCTGTTGTTTTTCTTAATCCAGGCAGTGTTACTGTTGAAGAGGAGGGATTTCCGTGAATGCATGATAATGTCAATGTCTCGGTCCGTAATGGTAGTGAATTGTTTGGCGAAGTTGATTGCGTCTGTAAGTAGTTTCTCAGTGATGGAGRGGTAGAAGTTTTCAATGTCAAATACGGCGAAGGTGTGTTGATCTTTGTGTTGAATAGATGAGAACCAGTWAATGACGGATGATGAGTTTTTCCATTGGTTAAGGCCAGTCTTCTGTCTCACAGTYGTGTTAATGTTCGCGAGRATTTCTTTGCTGATGCGTCCGATTTCACTTTTTGCAGGGTTRATAAGTCTACATGTAGGTTTGTTCTGGAAGTTGTCTTTGTGGTCCTTGAGTGTTATAAAAGCCTGTCGTTCAGCCATACGTTCAGCTCGGAATGAATGATTATGAATAAAGATTGATTGATTGATTGATTTGTGAATTCGCTCTGGATAACCTCAAGGTTATCTTCAACTTTATCAATTAGAATTGAAACTTCAGCTGCCGAAAAGTTACTTTTTCTGACTTTTTGTTTAACCTTCGCTAGCCATTTTGTCAACAAAAACCGGTGCATTATGGGAATATAATCCGCGTTTAAATCCGCTAATTGTGGTTTAGTTAATCGCTCGTGCAAACCACCTTTGAACAATAGGTTTTAAAGCATGGATTAGCTATCCTAGGATTAGCGAATTTAACCTAGGTTTAGGCCTATTCCTAGGTTAGTTTGATTGGGCTTTTGAACAACAGAGCCCTGTACATTACTTTTGTGATTTAGTATTTAACCTTCTTAGGCATCCATAAGTTTGAAACATCTCTTGAAACATCTCTTGACTATTTCATGGTTGCTAGGCGGTGTCGGATAATATTCCAAAATCGCTTCCACGTAAAATTCTTTCAGTATTATCCCAGTGAAAATTACTATTTTAGTGGCACCCTTTTTAGAGATACCAGCCCAAACATGGTACTTGAAGGGATGTTTCGGGGTCCCTGGAAATAGCGTTACAAGTTACGAAGCTACAAAGTTACGAAGTTACAAGGTTAAATTCGGTTACATTTCTGTCAAGAATATGTCAACAACATGTCAACAAACCCTTCTACTATTACTATATTATTATTATATACTTTAATTTTATGCGTTAGACATACCTGAATTGACTATCTTAGTCCAAAAAAACTTAAAAATTATAACTATAAACTTACTAGCTATAAAAGGTCAGAACCAGGTCCTTTCATCGTCATAAGCCTTTGGTCAGTGACCCCTGTACTGATGTACATGTGATGTCTGTGATAAGAAGTCGCACGGTGCAAGGGCACCATGATGGGCACCTTTTAACCATGAAGGGGGCCAGTTTTTGAACAGTGATTACGATTGTATTTGTTATAGCTTTGAGTATCTTAGAAATTCACTTACTGAATTCTTGTGTATATCTTGAGTCACAGGTAGCCCAAGCTATACATTTTAACCGTTTTTAGTAATTTTGCAAAATATGATAGTTTAATAAAAAATAAACATCTCTACCAGTTTATTTGGGTTTTCTTTGTATTCCGGTTGAGTTTCAGGCCATTTTGAGCCATTTATTGCTATTGTTATCATTCGCTCTAAAAAGAAGGGAAGGTAGCCAGGTCAACCCAACAGTGACCGCCAGAAATTAATTTCTAGCTCCGAAAATGTGAATCACGCCAATATTCCGTCGGATTATCTNTAAGGTATTTTGTAATGATCTGTGCACATTTTGCAATGATTTTTTATATTATTATGACCGAATATGGACTTTTACCGATATGTAGTTTGTAATTGTGCAATAAAATAGTATTTAACGGCATTTACTTTCTTGTTTCATTTCACTCGCTGTCGAAACATGGCAAACAACAATTTTGATTTCACTTTACTGTTTAATTCTGATGATGAAGAGGAGTTTGAGGGTTTCGAGTTAGAAGAATTAGAAATGAAAGAGTTAGGTATCAGCTTTAAGTAAATTATGGGTTTGTACAGGGTTAAAGCATTTCCTRATTTTATATGAWTTTTTTAAGTAAACAGTACATAATATCCAAAAATAYGTGGCATTCAAGGTGGGACGAGGGTACCAGTACCTGGCAGGACAAGGGTTAATTATTTCATTTACAGAAATTTATCTAACTGAATATTGCTGCATTAATTTAACTTGAATTTCAAAAATGTAATACTTTTTTCAATAAAATTCAGCTGTTGTGTTTGTTGTTGTGCTGATGCGATAATAATTATTTTCAAATCTGTGCACGTAGTTTGTATATTAGAAGGGTTAAAGACTTGCTGGCTGTAGAATGAACTCGAAATCTTAATAAGCTTACAGATTCCTCGTTCATTCTAGAGCCGCCGGGTGCGTGTATTTGCCGGTAAAACACTCACATTAGTCTCTTATCCCTAAATAATCGATAAAAATATTCCGATAAAATCGATATAACGATAGTCACACCAAAGTACGTTATCTATGTTTATCGATTTTATCGACTGATGKATTGATTGATATATAAATTTTATTGATTAGTATCGGTTTCTATCGACTATCGAAATCATCGATTGGTGTCATCGGAGTGGAACGCCGGTTAACCAAGCAAGAACGTGCAGATTAGGTTTTACTGAAATTATTATTTTTTAACTTAAGTTAAGTTAAGCTTACTTACATTACAGCTGTAAAACCGCTTTTAGGAGAAACCAAAGAAAAGGATAAGCTATTTTGGCTCCACACATCACGAATCGTCGCCGTTCGGGTGGCGATAACGTTGGAAGCAGACAGSTATAGAAAGCTCATTATTCGCTTAATATGCTATTATTTTTTTCTGTATCTGTCCAATACGAAGCAAATTTCCATCTTAGTATGGAGAAACCACCAAAGATCAGAGACTGTGCAAGTGAAAACAGCAGCGAGAACAGCGCAACGCGTACCCAGAGCCCGCGTAAAAGCAATCTCGTAACTCCGAGCCTTCGTTTTCTTGGCCAGCGAGCGCCGAATTTTTTGCGAATTTTGATTGGTTCTTAAAATAGAAAAAAATTGCCGCCGGAAGTGAAATTAAAACAAGGACAACAGCCGAATAGTTCATGTATGATCTCGATATATTACCTTAGATTCTTGCTTTTTAAAAAATGCTTGGAGTCAGGCGGGCAAAAGCGAAGGGATAAGGCCCTGGGAACGAGGTAGCAATAAATGCATTACCGTCGCTCGGTATAATTCACGATTCTCATAATGGCTGACACTAATTAGCATATTATCGCTCTATTAATAATGTTGACAAATGAAAACACTCAAATGGTAGATGTCAAAGCCAAAGATAAACTCTGAAAGTTTCACAGAAAAATATTAAATCCTCTTGAAGTTATAAGGGTTAGAAGAGGTACGAAAACACCAAAACGAGGCTACGCAGCAAAGAATTCCATACAAATCCCTGTATTTTTATTCCTCGATAACTTTGTTAGCTTTAAAACCTTCCATGAATACCTATTTCTAATAGGTCTTCCATATGACAGTGTTGAACGTTTCCATAATATTATAAATTGTATAAAATCGATGGTAGGCACAACTACTAAGTCTAAATGAAACTAGACGCTCCTGSAGCGTGAAGTCGGACTGCGAACAACTTACGAGTTGGATTTCGAGTTGAATTTTATTTGTTTTCCAGCAACCGAGAAGTCAATGAATCGAGGAAAGTTGTCTTTATAAGAGGAGGATTTCATTCTTGCCAAGACACCGGTTTGAATCCCTTCGGCTTTTCACTTTTGTTTTGTTGGGGCGAAATTTAATCTTTATGCTATAAATCGACTTTTAACTCACATACATTTCATATCAAGTAAAGAGCTTGGGCTACCCGTGCATTTCTTTGATATTTCTTTGTGTCGGATTACCAAAGATTCAGGGACATCGGAGCGGGAATTTGT